TTTTTTTAAAAAACCCCCCCCCCCCCCCCCCATCCTGCTGAAGTTCTTTTCTGTGAAGATTGGAGATAGCTGAGGCTGCCCGTGCAGGGGCATATTCACTTAGAGTTTTCCTGGAGGATGCTTGACTGTTGCAGGTGTTAGAGGAAATCCCCAAAGTTTCTAACCCTGTTGTTGTGACAGCTACTGATCTTAGCAGCTACATTTTGATGATTAATCACTGTCACCAGCTGCTGCAGGGGAGGGGGCAGGTGCAGCACTTAAGTCCATTTTTCATTCTTGCTTTCATACCCAATTCATTTTAGGACCTAGAGCAAGTAGTCTAGCCAACTTGCACCCCTGGCCCACGGATAAGGAGAGATTAGTAGGATGTAGGAGTATGACAGATACCCACCTTTTTGCTCTAGTAGTAGGTAATGAGTTCCTAGATTTCCTAAGTAATTCTGACCTTTGGCTCTTTGGTATTAATCCTCATTTAAAACTTGTATTTTTTAGGCTACGGTTGAACAACTAATGTTTGAAGAGAAGAACAAAGCTCAGAGATTACAGACAGAATTAGATGTCAGTGAACAAGTCCAGAGAGATTTTGTAAAGCTTTCTCAGACCCTTCAGGTGAGGCTTTTGGGGAACCACTACACAGAGCACTAAGGCAGTTTTGGGGGAGAGAACTTGGCCAATCCCTGACTTGACCACTGACAGTAGTTAGAGGTTTAGAGACTGTGGCTACCTCTAACCGTACTCCTAGTCACTCAGACGAGAAACTGGCATGTTCTTCAAACTCTGCCTCCTTTCTCTTTTTCTCTATACTTTGCCAGTTTTGCCCCCTTAAGAGTAAAGTATAAATTCCTTAGCATACCATGTCATGCCCTTCCCAACCATGCCTACCCTGCATTTTGCTCATCTCTGTCTTATATATTCCAGTGTTTCATAACTAGTTGTGGTTCCTTGCCCATAGCATGGTCTTACTTCTGGTAAGCATCCTTGTCTCATCCCTCCTGACTCCTTTCTTTCAAGGCCTCACCTAGGTTTGTCCTATCCATGGAACCCTCTCTAAGTCCCTGAGCTGGGCCAAAGCGTCCCCTCCCTCTGCCATGCTCCCTTGGCACACTGTGAATGCCTAGAGTCACATTTAGTATATTGTGCTAACACTCTCTAAGGTTGTTTTTTCCCAACTGAACTCTGGATTCTCAGGGGTCAGGTCTCAATTGTCTCTGTAATCCCCCTACACTTTACAATCTCAATGTTACATAGCAGCTTTTGGGAATTGTTTTTTGAATTTAATTGTTCTTGCTGCCACTACTCTGGTGAGTTAACCTGCTGCATCTCAGCTAAACCAATCCAAGTAAAGTTAGAAAATCTAGGCAGGAGCCACCTGCATTTATCTCGCCTTTGTTTCTCCAGGTGCAGTTAGAGCGCATCCGGCAAGCAGACTCCTTAGAGAGAATCCGGGCAATTCTGAATGATACCAAACTGACAGACATTAACCAGCTCCCTGAGACATGACACCCTGACAGCAGGATTCTAGCCTGCACTTTGGGTTTTTAACTCATCTTTAGAGCAACATTAATTATTATTTAACTCTTAACTGAAGAAGCAGAAGTCACAACAAAAGGAAGACTGGAGAAATGCTTATTTCTAGTGGGAGAAGACTGCAGCACAGGAACAGCGAACAGCCAGGGTGATTTGCAGCATAAAGACCTTTCAAATGGGAACACTAATGAGACTCTGGACTTGATTCCAATGGGCATGGGATCAGATCTGGTGATAGAAAAAGTGCTGTTTCCTTGCCTGCTTTCTCCAACATAGATTTTTGGAACACATTTTCCTACCCTACAGCAACATCCCAATAGTGTTTGGAATTACATTTTCTGTTAATAGATCTTGGGAGAGATAATTTTCTTTTTCTGTTGTCTAGAGCTCATCAGTAACACAGCGTTCAGCTAGCAGACAGAGGTGTAGTATGCTGTATGAATATTTTATATTAAAATATGAAGTTTGAGAGCAGGCCATTGGCTACTGACTGTATTTCCCTTGCTTGGTGCATTTTATTTTCTTTTCACCATTTTATCTTGCATTGGGGAACCTTAAATGCTACTGAAACTTGCCTGAGAACCATTAGACTATGGCAAACAAAACCAATTCACGAACCGAATTAATTATGAGGATTTGAAAACTTGGCTGGGGTTTTATATATATATTGGAAGTTAACGTTAAAGGAAAAGCACAAGAAACTGTTTGGAAGCACTTTTTCTGATACCTGGATGATCTTCGTGGGCCCATAGGTACCAGAGTAAAGTTGAATTGGCACCGTCTATCTACTCTTTTCAAGTGTTTTGCTATGTCTCACAACATCTAGTATACATTTATAAATCAGCTTATTTTCATCTTGAATCAATGGGCTTGAATACCGTTTGTTTCAAATGTGTCAAATACAAAAATGGTGGTGACTGGGTTTGACAGATACTTATATTCTGGGTCTAAAGAAAAATACAAAGTGACATTGCTTTCGGTGAAGCTGGGGAAAAGCCAGTTAGTATACTGATGTTTGGAAATCTGCTTTGTCGGTTTACAAGAGGTTAGATTCCATTCCTGTTTGGAGAAAACCTCAATTAAACAGGTTGTCTTTGCCATAGATTTGTGAAGTGTTGCAGAAGCACAAAGAATGGATTCGTGTTCACTATTTACCTGCTGCAGTACTGTCCCAGGAATAGCCAGTGGAAGACTGCCCTGTTTGTTTAATTCATTGTACAGATGGTTCAAAAGTAAAATAGTTTAACTGGTGTTGCCTAACAGTAGGGTACCTGAAGGAACCTTATGGCAATTAGTTAACTAAGTAGACTGTCTGGTTCCCTTAAAGCCACCACCAACTTACAGTTTAAAGTGAATTGTCTTTGTTATAAATGAAGTCCTTATGGACTTGCCCTAAAAATCTTTACTTCTGTCTTCCACAGGACTACATACCTCATCCCTTGGGTTATAATGTTATAGTTGTACATTCACAATTATGAATTTAAAAGTAAATACTAATTATGGAAATAGTGCTGTAGGCTTACCATGCATGAAACATAATTTAAATTGGTTTAAAGTTCCTTTGTGTAAAAAGTGCTACTTGGTTTAGATAAGGAAACATATCCTCATTGAGTTACAGGGAATTTTATTTACAAAATGCAATCAATTTGAATTATATAAGGTTAAGATTAGTCTCTTGGATAGGCCCCAAGCTAATTTGTTTCAGATTATTAAAATTAGTGCTGTAAGTCAGGATGGCTAACTCATAATATTTTATTTTCTATTTTTTTTGCGGCTGGTCTATATGGGGATCCGAACCTGTGACCCAGGTGTTGTAACACCACACTGCAACCGAGTTAATTGGCCAGCCTGGGTAACTTATAATCTTTCTGAACCTACTGAACTACACTGCAGCTCCCAGTGAGCTGTTCTGCTAAGACTGGGTACCCTACAGCTATTTTTCTACAGAAGATGGTACTGGGGCAATAAAATCATCATGATTAGGGAACTGTTAGTGGTCTCTATGTGGCAGATGCAAACTCTTAGAATCCACTTTATTGAGGAAAATGTCCTAGAAAAACCTATTTCTGATAATAAAACAAACTACTGTGACACTATCCAGCTAGGAAACAATTCTTTAAACTGGGTTTTCTGCATAAATTGAACTGATTAAAATCAGCTGGGTTTCATGAGTGTTCCTGTGCTTGTGTTTAGTCTGTACACACGTTCTCACGCATGTCTAACCTGATTTACCTCTCATCTGTAACATACCTTCTCATGTGGCTTTTAACTGGCAGCCACTCGGCCATTTCTAGGCAGGTATGGTATTACCTTTCAGAACTCACATTGGCAGGTATGAAAAGATGACCGAAAGCCAACTGAGGACAAAACCACATTGCATATCACGCTCTTTCTTTCTCCCTTTGAGATGCAAAACTTGCACCTCTACTTGCACTCATCAACATAGAGCATGGGCATACTCAGCTCTGAAAGGTAACACTGCCTGTACAGAAGTGAGCCAGCAGTGGTCTTTGCAACTGTGGATCTTGAGCGCTGCTCTGAGATTTCAGGTGTAACCATTTGTTAATTATACTGAAGGTGTGTCCGTAAAGAGAAAGTGTTCAAATTAAAAAAGCTACTGCTGAGTACACTGTGTCGTCTTTTCCTTTGAATCTTAGGGTTCTGTCCATCTTCAGAATCATATTTCTGGTGCTGTTACTTTAAAACACAGCTCTCATTTTTGCTCAAATATGGAGAAAACTCAATAGGGCCCTGGAAATCTGGCAGTGTACAGCTGAAAGTCTGTGCCACAAGATTTTTTTTTTTTTTTTTTAAATCCTGGGCCCTTGCTGAATACAATTATAGACTGGAGTTACAAAGCACATTCCAATTTTTAAATAAAATCATTTATGCAATAAGTATAAAACATAAAATATTAAAAATGGTGAATAACCACGCCAAAGTTCATCCAAAATGCCTCTTTATAAATTAGATAATGCTCCCAGTTTGTTTTGCAGTATGGGTGTAAGCCTTCAGCTGTGTTAACTTCAGTTGTGAATCTGTTCCTGGTACTGTCAGAAGTTTACATGATTTCGGATATCATTGATTTGCTTCACCATTTCCCTTATGTGTTCACCCCTGTAAAATCAGAAAGTCACTACACTCACTTTTGGAAGTACAATGAATGAACAAACCATTAGTATGGAGTCTTAAGAATTTAAACTAGTATTGTTAAAATATTTAAGAAATGTTTTGTTAAAAGTAACAGCTTAAGGTTTCAGATGGATAACAGTAGTGTTCACTATTCATGTAAGGTGACAAACAGTGGAGCAACTACTGGAAATATTTTTGGTTTTGTTTTTTGGCAGCTGGCTGGTATGAGAATCCAAACCCAACTGGAAATGTTTTTGAAGATATTCATTGAGAAATACCTTTGACCACACAACAAAATCACATTATAGAAAAGTCATCATTTTCAGTCCTCCCACCATACTCATTTCTTAAGTCCCTATCTATCTATCATGGGGCTCCCATTCCAGTAATTACTTGACATGCAAATTCTAAAACTAGGTTTCTTATCTGGGCAAAGAGGTTGATTTTGGCATACTATAAAGAAAAACTATCTTGCAATAATAGGTGACTGAAATATTTACTTACTCCTCCTTTAGGATGGACTGAATGCACTTTCGCTGGTAGGCACTGAGAGTAATGGTGGGTTTTTGAAGACTCAGCACCTTTTCCATCTTTCGCTGTTGATAGTCTTTTTTCATAGTAACCTTAAGTTTCGAACAGAACATAGATATTTAGGCTATGGTTTGCCACACATTTTCATGGTGTCCCTTTTAGTTCTCTTTTACATTTTATTAAATTATTTTATGTAAAACAAGTGCTTTAAAAAAATACCAAATTTAGCCACCTTGCATCCTGTTCCTACCTGTTTGATGGCATTTCCCAAATGTCGAAGTTGATCAGGTATCAGCTGTAATTCTTTCTTCATGTCTCTCTCACTATCAGAGAGAACTGGGAGCTGAGAGTGAAAACTGTGAAGTACTTTTTTCATCCTTCAGAAAAGGTAAGCAAACACTCAGCTTAAGATCTCTGCTAACTAAGGAGAAACACAATTACAAATAAAGCTCATAATTCATGAATCTGGTGTCTGTGAAAGAGGGCCCCATAGGATGGGTTAGGGGACAGCATAATGTCTCCCTAACATGTACTTTAGCAAAGGGTAGGGGCATCAATTCAATTCTGTAGATATGTGAGCACTTGCTAAGGCTCATTTTCTTAATAAGACTGTTAGTACCTTAGTAGTTAATAACCATGTTAGTACTTGAGTAGGGAACTCAGTGTTACACAGCTCACAGACCTGTTCATGATGTCTTCTTGTTTTTCCTTGGCTTCCTCATATTTGTCAGCTAAGCGCTCAGCCATTTCCCGTAGGCTTTTCCTAATGACATAAGAAACAACAGACTCTTAGGGTCCACCTCGATGTTGAAGCCAGCTGATGTGTCTCAGCATCTTCGGGTGAGATACAGTTCCAGTCTTACTGACCTATTATTGTTTTCTTTTCCTTAGTTTTGACACTCACCTCTCCTCTCGACAATAATTGAGATCTTCTAGTTGTTTCTTTTTTTGGTCACATAATAATTTGACCCTTCAAGAAGAAAAAGAATAAAGTTTAATCAGAAGCCAGGTCTAGGCTATTATACAGCATCAGCTACCAGTCAGGGACTAGTGGTTTGTGAACACACAACATCATACCTCCGCTGAATCTCCTCCTTTGCCAGGTCCTGTTTAAGAATGTACTGTTCTCTGAACACCTGGGTGGCTCTGCTGATGAGCTGAAGACATTCTTCAGGAGGAGGGACCATATCCTTTTCAGATGATCTTAAAAACAAAGTTTCTACCATTATTTTCCTTAGCTGAGTAACAACTGAAAATAGACATAAGTCATAGCTGCCTTTCCCCTCCCTTCTTTTTAACACTTCCTGTTTATCATTCTCAGGCGCCTCTTCTCCCTCTATTGACTAGCTGATTGAATATGCCCTATGTTTTCTCCAGCTCCACCATAGTAAAAAGTATATGAAACAGCTGAGTACAGAAAGGATGAACATAATTATGAAGACAGAGAAGAGAACCCATTCTTAAAACCTATGTATACACAAGATCCTGTACTTCAAGAATGTTGGATTGGCAACACTACGTTGCAAAATGCTTCTAATATGCTTTTCAAAGGAATCTGGGGTTTCAGCCAGAATCCGGAGGGGAGACTCCGCCACTTCAACATCTTCTCGGGTGCAGAGCAGGGGAGGAGACGCTGCATGGACTGTACTTCTGCAAAATAAGCAGATAAATCAATCGAAGTCTACCATGGAGTTACTTACTCTAAGTATTATATGAAAGCATAAACCACAGTTATTCAGAACTTTGAGAACATAAGAAACTATAAGATGTTATTTTTGTAGAAGTACAAAAATGCACATTTTCTGCCTTGAAAAGGTCACCTTGGGACGCTATTCCCTTATTCTACCAATGCTGCCATTTGTCAAAGCATTTTGGACTCTGCCACTTCAAATTCCTTTTAAAAGATCAAGGCAGCACAAAAATATAATCTACCATGGACTCTTTCTGCAAAAGAATTGAGAACTACTTTTATAAGCCAGATCCACAAACATAAATAAATCACTCATTTATTATGTATAGTTTAGATTTGGTCAGAACCAATATTAAAGCCAGATAACTACTCACATAATATATACCCTATTTGGTTCTATATAACTTGATTTCTAAAAATTACATCCTATCAATTGCAGATATTCACAAAGGCAATTTCAGAAAGAGCTTGAATAACATGGCTAACTTTGGCAGCACAGTAAGTGACTTACTTTGAAGGCAACAATTCAAATTTAGAAGTTTGTTAAATGATAACATTACTTTGTAGACAATCTGTACTTCAGGGAGCTGGCAGAAACAGGATTTGAAGGTATCCAGATAATTAATGCTAAGTTTTTTTTTCCCCTTTGGGATTCATGTTTTTATTGAGAAGTAACCTAGTGTCACTAGGTTTTATTTTACTAAAGGAAGGATGGATTTTCTTTGATTTTGTTTTTTGCAGCCGGCCAGTAGGGGGTCTGAACTCTTGACCTTGGTGTTATCAGCACCATGCTCTTCCAAGTAAGCCACTGGCCAGCCCTTAAAGGTAGTATGGGTTTTTTAAAAATATGAGGTAACTGGCGAAGTAGATAACTTTTTCTCCAAAGTGATTTTACAATTTTCATTTAACCTTGCTAGAGTTTTTAATGTATTTTAGTATGAATAACACAAAATTGATTTTGAATTATTTTCCCTTCCAAATAGTGTAACTTGTCAATCTTCAAGGAGCATAGAAGATCCTCTAAGGACAGTAAATTAATGCCAGTATTTTGAAATTATGTCAGTTTCTAGAAGCACATGCTATGAACTGACACCAAGAGACTGGGGGGTACAGTGTCTGATACTCCAGCGACTTTTGTTATTCCTGCATTTTTGAAACTCAATGACCTTACCTTCCAGAGCTGTTGGAAAAGGAAAATGGTGATTATAGCTTAATATCTGAGTTCACGGGGAATGAGGATTATAAATTCAGCTTTTTACCACCTTTCTTCAGGGTTTACATATTCTATGATGTCCCTCTGAGGCTGGCAGAGAAAAGAGTGTGAGTATGGACTTTTGAGTCAGTCAGACCTTCATCTGCAGCCCAGCTCCACTTATTACCTGTGACTTCACCATTTAATCTCTCGAGCCCTGTTTCCTCTTCTGTAAAATGAGGATTACAGTGCTTTCCTTACAGGGCTGCTTTGATGATTCCGGGAGGCAATGCAGGTAAATGACTTACTTCCAAACCTGACATGTAGAGCTTGAGAATCATTAATTCATATTTATAACAGAGTTCGGTATTTAATTTTAGTATTTTGTTCCCATACTTTAAAGAAAATGTCCTGATTCTCAGCTAGTTATAGAAGATGCCAGAAATCATGACTATAAAATTTAGAAACCTAAGAGATGATGGGAACAACAGAAATATCTACCCTTCTAAGCCTCAACTCAGAAGCTAAATCTTAAACTATATACATACAAGTTCAAAACAGTTACTGAGTGCATTTTCCCAGCTTTGATTTTGCAGAACTCATGAGAGCTGTGTGGAGAATACAAAATGGGACGTACAATAAAGGCCTTATGAGGCATTCATAGGTACTGGTGATACAGATCATCGTGGGCCCCAGAATGTCAGGGACGATCCAGAATCCTTGAATCGGAGCTGGCTGCCTGGAAAAACACACAGTCACAATTAAGTTACTAAGTAGCAAATACAATGGAGCCAAGAGCAAAGACATGACTAAGGTCCCTGGCCTTCTCAGGCCTGGGCTGACAGTTGCCTGGGATATGCTATCTATCAGTGCAGTAATCCCCAAAGTGGTGACCTGGAAATTTGTAGCTCTGATCACCATGAACAAGCTGTCACTTAACAGTTTAGAGGCCATTTTGCCAAGTCAGTCAATAACCTATAGCGGTGCAGTAATCCCCAAAGTGGTGACCTGGAAATTTGTAGCTCTGATCACCGTGAACAAGCTGTCACTTAACAGTTTAGAGGCCATTTTGCCAAGTC